CCCGAGGAGGTGGACCTCTGCACCTTTGCTGCAGGGAGGTGGCCTGGCTGTGTGTTCCTGTGCTCCCCCCTTGGGATGGGGATGTGTCCTTCTGTGCCTTGCTTGTGATTTTGTCAGTAGAAGGGGCTGCCACCGGGAACAGGGAAGCACTCCCTCATGCCACCCACTCTAGCAGCAGCTTTAATCCGGGGACAGCCTGGTCCCAGGGGTGGTCCGATGTTTCTGCTATATTCCACAGCCAATGAAATATTTGAAATGTTTATTTCCTTTCCTTCCTGGCCCTCAAGTGGGTAGATGTGGGCAGACAGTTTATGTCTTTGGTGCCCTTGACTTTGGATTTCAAGCAAAGCTGATCACAGGTTTATTCTTCTATAGGGACTTAATTAACCCACTGATTTTTGTCATTTCAATTACAGGAGCCCAGTTTAAGCTGCACCCCCCCCAGTACTTTGAAATACTCGCCTCAAAAGTTGTGCAGTCATGCCATGGACCCTGGTGGGCAGCGCTGGCGCCGCTTCTGAGCTGGCCTTCCTAGCACAGCAGGGAGGCTGAGATGGTGGGGAGGCCGGACGCCTCCTTTGAAGGCAGCACCCCCTACCCCTGCAGTGCTGGCCCTTGAAAGCTCTTTATACTCCTCCGTCCACACCTCACCGCTGGAAGGGCCTCCGTGGAGAGAGGTCTGAGCGTTGTTAGTTGGGTTTTGATTTCAGTACTGGAGTTGATAAAACGAGATAAACCCCAGGCTCACTAGGGCCGTGGAAATTAAACAGAGATGATATCAAAGTTCCCCTGAGTTTTCAGCTGTGATACAGTAGCTTAGTTTTCTCCCAGACTGGGGCCGGGAGGCAGGCCTTTGATTCTGAAACAATGTTCAGCATCAGTTCAGCCCAGCACTGCTGACTTTTAGGGATTAAGCTCACTGTTGTGGTAATTCTTTGATCAGCTACAAGGGAGCCGTGTGCCGTCTGTGTGAAGGGGATTCATAGTTAAAGTTCATTTCTCTGTGAACCTGGATGACAGCATGGGGGAGGGCCTCCCCCAGCACTGTCTGCAGCGCTGTAGGCATTGGCAGGCAGCTGGCCTTCTCCCCACCTAAGAGCTTACCTGGCAGGGGATGAAATCGTCCTGGCTTGGGGAACATCTCATCTAAACCCTCCCCATCTTGTCTAGTCCACACACATACACATACACACAGACGCATGTGTGCGCGCACACACACACACACGGCATATACATGTACACACATGGCAGCACATGCAGGCCTTGGAATGATCTGTCTACAGGCCTCCTCAGGGGAGAGGTCGGATGGGAATTGAGACCAGATAACCTGAGGGGCTAAATTAGGCTAGCCCAAGATCATTGCCCCTGTGCCCAAGAGCGGACATGACTCACAGCTGCCTAATACTTCCATTCCTTAGCTGGCCTTTGTTGAGAACAGACTTGATTTCAGGTGGGCTCAATACTGAAGTTCTGGGGGAAAAACCCTCTACATCTGCTGTCTCGCCACCCAAGCACGGGCTTCACGCTTGGCTTTCCCTGTAGAGACCCCCCTTGCAGCCACAGCTGGATGGAAGGCTTCCCCATTTGGCTCCCCTCCCTGGGATGGCCCCAAGACTCTCGGTGGGTAATGGAGCCCCTGTGTGCCGTGGATCCTGCACGCGCCAGGCTGTAGATCAACCTGTTCCCTCCCGTGCCGTGCTTGGATCTCCCTCATTAGGCCTGAATTTACCTCCGTCCTACACAAACATGGCCTTAGCTCATTTTTATTGTTGTAAATTATTTACGAGGGGACTGTTGAATCTTGAAACTGAGGTGCAAGGGAAATTAATCCCATGTTACTTTTATCTTTCTGTACTTTTCTCCCCTTGCGTGACTTATTGAGCTGTGGCCAGAGGAAGAAGAGCTTTGGCATTTTAAAATATAATTAGTGTTGAAACTCCTTTTTCGACTGGGTGGGATATTAGGCTGTGAGCACAGGGTAATGCAAAGTGGTCTCGGCCAACAGGAGAGGCACCTCTGCTGGCTGTGGCCACGCGGTGCATGAGAACCCAGGACCTCAGTGTCCTCTTCTGTAAAATTGGGATAAGGTGGCCCAGCCACCTGCTATCTCCGATGTGCTCATTAACTGAGAAGGAGCCCGAGGAAGCCTTTTGACTTTTGTAAAAATGCTGCAGAAATGCAACAGAGACGTGTCTGCATGTTGTGTGGAGCTGCAGATGCAGGCGGACCAGAAAGGAGAGTCCCTCTCGGAGAGATGGGAGGGAGGTTACTCCAAGGGAGCCTCTGAGGTTCGCGTTCATCGCCTCTGGCCAGGCGCGTTCATTTTGGTCTTAGGCACCCCACTCCCTTGCCTGCGCCACTCCCCGCCCCACGCAGAAGTGCTCTGTGGGCTCACACTCCCGGCCTCTTGCTGCCCCTGGCCGAGGCCGGGCCTGTGACCCTGGGCGGCTGAGGATGCGCGGTGCCATCCCTTCTGGCTCGAGGCTCCAGGCAGCCCCGGGAAACGCGGAGTGCTAGTTAATAAATGGCCTTTTGTTAGGAAGGTCAATTGAAGTGACGGTGGAGACGCTGTTAAAAGTAATTTGCAGTCAGAAAATATGTAATTCAGGGCAAGCAGCTTTGAGCGATGGCCTCTGCCATGGATATCTTGGGCGTTTCTCATTAAAAGCTTCCGTGGCTGCTGGTGGGGCTCCCTCCGCCGCAGAGGAGTGGGCCGCAGCCCTGCTCGGAGAGCAGCCATTTGTCTCTGTTTCACAAAGGCTGCCTCATCCCCAGGGCACCGCAACTGGGGGAAGGGGAAGCAGGGAGGGGCGCTGCGTGGAGACGCTGCGCTCCCCGGCCGGCCGGCCGGCTGCTGGGCAGGCTGGGCCCCGCACTGGCGCCCGCCCGGCTCTTTGTCTGCCTCAGCTGGAGGCCGCCTGCAGCCATCTTGGGAGCTGCTGCCGGGCTGCCTCCGCGGGAGCATCCCCGAGCATCCTCTCCCTCCTCCAGAGCGGTTTGCCCTCCTGCAATTGATAGTGTGCTGCGGAGCAAAAGAGCCGCTGTCATCGGGTGCCTGGTGGAGCGCACTGTGATGGGGACATGAATCTATCAGCAAATAAGACATTTCTTCCTTAGGCTTACCTTCAACCTCCCTGCCTTTTTCTTTTCCCTTCCTTTTCTCCCTCTCTCTTTTTTCTCCTTTTTCTTTCTCTTCCCCATCTCTCTCTCTCTCTGATAGTAAAGGCAGTACTATCTTATATTAAAAAAAACCTTCACCTCACATGTTCTTTATTAAATTCACAGCATGATATTTAGCACTGGCAGAATCCGTACATTCTGTTAATGAGTTGTTAATTGCAAAGCATTTTTGGTAACCAGCAGCAGGTACCAATATTTTGCAAACTGCAGCAATGTTATGTTCATGTTCCCAATAACGCAGGATTTTTCAAGTACAGACACTTTTTGATCGGTGTGCGCTTTGGATCAGGCAGGTGCAGCTATTTAACTGGAAACCTATACTGGCGGCATGCATGTGGAGTCACTCAATAAATATTTACTCAGTGCCTACTGGGTGCAGGAAGCACCAAGCTCCATGCTTTATGAAGATAAGCCTGGCTGGTGAATGAAACTGGAAAATAGGAAATGATACAGTGGTTCGGTGTGGTCTCCACCCCACCCCCCCACCCCCGCCCTGGTCCTCTATAGGCTTGTTTTCAGTAGAAGTAAAGCCTGCTTGGTTTCTTTTTTGTCATAAACAGAAGCTGAGAGTGCAGCTGTGCCAGGCACCTCCTTGCTTTGACTGGGGACTTGGCTCCATTGCATTGACAAGCCTGTTTCCAGAGCCTTTTGTGGGTTCTGCGGAGTCCATGGGCGACTTGCATGCAGCATTTGGATTGTCCCTGTTCAGGAGGCTGTAGTAAGTTTTAGTGGCCTCTGCCTTTTGTGATTCGAGGCTGAGAGGTGAGAATGCTCCTCCCGCCTGCTCGCCTGCCTACTCAGGGTGTCTGGTTTGCTTTCACAGCAGTAGCCAGCCCTAGGAGAGCTGGCAGACCTACAGCCAGTGGAGCTTAATTGCTGCAGAAGGAGGTGGAATTTAACTTGCTCTTTTTCACTGTTTGTCCCTGTAAAAAGTACTTCAATTCATTTACGTAAGGTGTTGCCTTTTTTATTTGCCTCTTGGCGGCACGGCCACTCGGGCTGCCCAGGCCCAGTGCTGCACATATTGCACCTGTCTCCTCTAGTCCTGTCAAGAGACTGTAGCAACAGAATAATAATTCCACCTGCTTCCCCCTTGCAACCAAGGTACTCTGGAAGAGTTAAGGTCATTGTTTGTATTTAGCTTTGAGTAAGTGCCCACGTGACCTGTGCGCCCTAGAGACCTCTCTAGGCTTCTCATTTACATCGGCTCTCCTAGCTCTTGCATCAACTCTGAGGATGTTGGAATCATGCATGGCCTCACTTTATAGGGGAGAACATTGAGTCTGGAAGAGGTGAACTTTCTGGCTTGAAGTCACCAGCTTGTGAGTCATGGAGGCTGGACTCAAACACCATTCACCATTCCTTTGCCCCATGCACAGAACACTTTCTTCTCCATGGTTGCACAGCTCCTTATCTGTGGAGCTCTGCCTACAGAAAGGCCCAGCTCAGCCTGGCAGAGGCTACAATTTGGAAGCCTGTGCCTCTATCAGGCAGGATCCGACAAGGAGCGAAATAAAGGCTGTGTTAGAGTTAGCTATGTTTGATTTATCCTCAGGGGAGCTATTGGTACCCAGAAATCAAGCAGCTGGTGATAGAGTTCAGAATGACATGCTTTGGGGCTTGCATCAGAATCCCTGCTGAGGTCAAGGACTGTCCAAAGCTTACCTGAGAAGGGCAAGGACCAGAGTAGAGGTAACTGGAATTCGTGACCTGAGCAAGGATCGGTTGCCCCAAGATTCTGGCTCTGTCTGTGCGTATTGCTCACGTGGAACACTGTTTGAATTTTGTGCTTTCTTTTTCCTTTTCTGAACCAGGATCAATCCACCATGCCTGAAGTTAAAGACCTTTCGGAAGCCTTGCCAGAGATGTCGATGGACCCCATCACGGGAGTCGGGGTGGTGGCTTCCCGGAACCGAGCCCCAACGGGCTATGATGTAGTAAGTCAGGACACTAGTTTGTACATTTTGCTCACTGACTGAACACGTATTCACTTCTTGTATCCAGGAGTCTCTAGCCTGTACGGGAGAGATTCTCCCCTCTAGAAACTTAAGATAATCAGAGGGGGGAGGTCAGTGCTGGTAAGCGGCCATGGCCACTGTCCTGCCTGGGGAGACAGGAGACCAGAGCTCACCAGGGCCGTTTCCTGGCTGGGGATGTGGCTGAGCCATTTGACCTTTGTGATGATCACTCTAACTATCTGTAAGATTAAGAAGTTGGATTCATTGACTTCCAGGGTCACTTCTAATTGTGACATTTCATGAAAAGGATCCAGGACCCTCTGAAAAACTCTACCCAGTGAATTCATTTAGAGTCCCTAGAAGCCCTGGAGAAGTCAAGTACTCTCTCTGCACTTAACCAACCGGGAGAACCCAAGCCCAGAGACATGAAATGTTAGGATCCCCGTTCTTGGGTGCAGTGATTGATCAGGACCAGACCTCCTCCTGGGTGAGGGCAGTGGTGCAGTGCGGTACAACAGGGTGGCAGAGAGCGTCCCTGCTTTTCAGCAGGCATTTGTGCTGTGTTCAGTTGTCCTGTGGGTTGGGACTGGTTATTTTGTTGTTGCAGTAGATAAATCCCAATTTCCGTAGAGCTTAAAAAGTACAGAATGACCTTAGGAGGGTAGAGGAATGACTACTATCATGTGTTTTTGAGGTTCTAAGGTGATCTTATTTTTATTTTTCTCATTTTGTTTATGACATTTTATCCTCGTTTTTTGAAAATGTGCATCAAGAATACATAAAAATAGTGACTAGATTAGGGTCTGTTGTTTCTGGAGTAGGAAGGCCCCAGTGCTCGGTCTTAGAGAAGCCCCAATTTAGGGATTTCCAACCTTGGCACTGTTGACATTTGGAGCCAGATAATCAGATAATTCTTTGCTGCGGGCCTCTCTTATGTGTCTATCGGTGCTTTAGCAGCATTCCTGGCCTCTGTCCAGTCAATGTCAGTAGCAGCTGCTTTTTCTCCTTTGGAGATGGCCGTCAAATATGTCCCCAGACATTTCCCAGTCAAGTCCCCAAGAGGAAGGGGTGGGTGGGCAAGATCCACCCCCCCCCGGAAGTCACTGCACTAAATGCAGGTGCGAACTGGGCCCATCCCTGCGGGCTCCTGGGAGTAGTAGACCTGGGGGTAGGGGTCTGTTAAAATGTTTCACATCACTTTCCCAAGTTTTGAAAGCTTATAAACATTTTAAAAGTGAAGAATGAAGGAATCTTTTTTGACAAAGATTTGAGTCTTACCTGCTGCTGGTCTTCAAAGCCCTGTTGGAATGTATAACTTTCCATAAAATAGAATCACTAGCTATGGCATTGTGCCATAAAACTCTTGGGGAAGCTAATAAAAACGTTCCTGATTTGAGAAGCTGAAGTGTCTTTTGATGAACGAGGTCCGAGGTCTGAGGCAGTTGGTTGTGAATCAAAGTAGGGCTGGCTCTTGGTGGGGAGTGCGGGGGCCTGGGTCCCTCTCTTGGGAGGCTTTGAGGGAGCTCCGGCCCAGGGCCTGGATCTCGACTCTCCCTGCGGTCCTCTCGGCAATCTGTATCTGTAACATTCTGTTTGTACCTTTGGGGTCACTGCGAGTACTTGGCTACTGGGCGGCAGATGCCCTTTGACAGTTTGGTTTTCTGAGAGTCTTGGGAAGCCTGACAGGAGCACAATCTATCCCTATCATTTTCTCCTAATATCGAGCTCAGGGCAGAAGAGCACAGTGTCAAATGGATGAAATTAATAAGCACATTTCATGATCATGTTGTACCATGCATTTTAGTGGAAGGTGAGCAGGGCAAGGGGCTCGAGCTAGCTGGCTTGGTAATTACCCAGCCTGCAGGCTCCCTCTAAGAGCCCTTCTGGGAGAGGGTGAGAAGGTGGGAGTGAGCTCTTTGTTCTGGCCTCTGGACTCTTCTCAGATAAGCCTCTCCTCCCCTAGAGGTCTGGCCCTGAGCCCAGAGTTCAAGGGGAATGGTGCAGAGGGCAGGTGAGGAGAGGTGTTTCCCCATATTTTCATCCGGAGTTTCCTATTAAGTCAACATCCAACCAAAGTGCAGAGTGAGTTTGGGTGGCCAGCTGCAGGAAGGCTGAGGCAAAAGTGCAGAGGACGAGGGAGCCCTGTGGCGGTCGTGCGGAGGCCCTGCCTGCCTGTCGCATCTGCTGTAGGATTAATCTCCGCCTGCACAGAGTAGGCTAAGCAGTGTGACCCCCCCAGTCCTGCAGGTCAGGCGCCAGATGGGCTGCTGGCCCTGAGTGGCACAACTGCCTCAAAATCAACTCGAAGCAAAAGAAGCCAGGGCCTCATTTATAAAAAATTTAATGATTTCCCTGCTCATTGGATCAGGGAAGCTTCTCTGGGTAGGGGCTGGGGATTATTTACTAAACTCAATTCATTGTTCCTATTTCTACACTCTCCCCTGAGTCCCCACCCCTGTGTGTCCTGTAGCCACAGGCCCAGATCTAGGTATGACCGGGGCTGACTGTCCCTGCTATCAAAGGTCAGGGTGAGTCTGTGGTGCTGGTGATGCCGCTGCGCTTGGCATCATGACTGCTGTGCGTGCTATTTCATCAGGGGTCGATGGTTCAGTTCTGGAGGGCTGCAGTGCTGGCGTTGACCTTTGATTTCCATCTCACTCTGGATTTTGCGATGCCTAAGAGGCATCGAGCTGGGCATCATTGGAGATCATTTTGGGGTGTATTTCTTTGTATTTACTATGATAGACATCCCATCTTTGACCTTTTAAGCAAGTGCTTACAACCGGATGTACGAGATGGCTTGGTGCCATCATGCCTCTGAGGGCAGGTCTCCATCATATTTCCAGTGTGCCTACACTCTCCTTGAGGTTTCTTGGGGTGTTGGGGGGTGGCAAAAAGAATTACTCATCCTTCAAAATCTAGTTCACCTAGCTCCTTGGTAAAAATTTTTCCTATGCAGTACTCATTTCTTTACTCCTTAGTTTCACAGATATTTATTGATCATCGACTGTACAGGGCACCAGAAGTTCAGGATTCGAGGGAAAACAGGTAGACGAACAGGCCCAGAGTTGGGAGCCATATTGTTTGGCTCTTACTTGGGGGTGAGCTCAGTAAAGGAGTTGAAGGAAAAGAGGTTCTTAGTTGAATCTGTGTTTTCAGGTAACATGTAGGGCAAGCAGATAATTGGAGGGGACAGGCATCCAGGCAGTGGCTAAGTTTAGACTCCATATTGGTGCACAGGGAGCGGCCCATTCTGGGCCATAGAAAGAAGAAATGGAAGTGGGTGGGTGAGAATGCAGATGCATATTCTTGGACAGAAGTAAGGATGGAATTTGGGGAGCAGGGTGCAGAGGTGAGGCAAAGAAAAGACTAGAATGACATAAGGATCTTCTCCTGGAAAGCTAGGTAGACATTGATGCTCTCTGTTGAGATAGAAACACAAGTGGCCAGGGGGGCTGGGCAAAGAGTTCCAGGTTTGAACACGTCAAGTTTAAGGTACTTGTGCGACATCCAAGCGCAGTCAAAGTTCTGAGGGTCTGGAGAGAAGTCTTGGGGTGATTGTGTGGCAAGGACTGGCACAGTGGGGCTCACCCAGGCAGAGGCTGCAGAGTCAGGAGAGATGGCAGTCATGCCAGACCCACAGCTGAGTCTCATGGATTGTTGGGGATTTAGGGGCAGAGAAGTCCCAGAAGCAAGACTGGAGTGATTTGGGAGGTGACAATGAGAAGCAGAGTATGGATGGCCCCTGAGGAAGAGAGGCCCGTGGAAGGCAGTAACTAGAGGATGATATGACATAAGGAGACTTTCCCCCTTTGCTTGACAGTGGACAAGTGTGGAGTGTGTTTAGCTGCTCAGGAGAAGGACCCAAAGAAAGGGTGGATTCAGAAGAGGGAGGGACCGTCTGGTTAACAGCAGAGAGGTTGGAGCTACCCAAGCCTATCACAGGCCTAGGAGGTGAAGTTTGTGGAACTCTTGCTCACCCCTACAGCTGGGTGCTTGGAAGCCAGTCTCATATCATGGCCCCTGAAACCCACCAGACCTCTGTGGCAACATGGGGACCCCCGTGCCCCACAAGTCAGCACTTCCTCTTCCTCCTCATTGTCTTTCTTGCTCTATCTCCCTTCTTTCAGTAGTGTTAAAACAAATCAAGCAACAAAACATTTCTCAAAACCCCTTGAGGCTGGATAACTTGTATGTGCCCAAAATGTATCGGCAAGTTTTGAGTAATGGGGTTTCAGATGCTTGAACCGTTTGGTGCGAGAGGCTGTGGAGGTGCCAGGGGAAATCCGCTCAGCACTGGGCCAGTGTCCTGGTTTAGGATGCATAGGGCAGGATCATTTTGAAATCCTAAACCTCACATGAGGGTCTGTCTTTCATACCAAAACGGAAAAAGAAACAAAACAAAAGCTACTCATTGCTAAAACAGTTTCACAAGAGCACATCTTTTTATATAGTGCTTGAGGTATTAGGGAATGTTATGAAAAGCCGGTGAAGATGGTAACACTATCTTTGGTAAAAGCATATGGTAGGTATCGGGTGGGAAGTGTGAGACAGTCATATGTGTGCTTGGATCCCAGCTGTCAGGGTCTCCAGAAAGCCCAAGTTGTGGTGGGAGGCCCCAAGCAGAAGCAGGAAAACCACTCTGCTTCCTCCGGGCCAGAGTATGGTGAGGAGCCAGAGCCCGGGCTGTCGCTGTGCAGTGGCTGCCTCCCCGTGGTTTGAGAGGAGCCAGTCAGGGCATTGCCTGCTCCTGTGTCCGCTGCCTTCTGTACAGGGCTTTGCTGGCAGGGGGCTGAGGGGAGCTCCAGGGTCCCCTGAGTGGAGAAATAACCACAAGCTCACAGCCTGGTTTATTTTCAGAACCAGAGCTTGACTGATATGAGGCACCAGGTGTTCCTCCTTTTTGTTTTCATAGAAAATATATTAAATTCAGATTTGCTGAAAACTTGGAAAGTGGTTTTATGGCCAGCCCATGGGTC